TCCCCCCCAAACTTAACTCCCAACCAATGTGGGACTTTGGCATTTTGCCAAACTTCAACAAAGAAGTGTCATGTCCCGAAGATAGAAGATGAAAGTAGCTGAGATGAGGATGTTAAGGTAGATGTGTGGGCATACCAGGTTAGATAAGATTAGGAATGAAGTTATTTGGAATTAGGTGGGATTGGCCCTTGTGGGAGGATAAGATGCGAGAGGCGAGGTTGAGATGGTTTGGGCATGTTAAGAGGAGAAGCATAGAAGCCCAGTTAGAAGGTGCGTGAGGTTAGCCTTAGTGGGTATCAGGAGGGGTAGAGGTAGGCCTAAGAAGTCTTGGGGAGAGGTGATCATGCGAGATGTGGTGCAGCTGGAGCTGACTGACGCTAGATAGGAGGGTGTGGAGGTGGAAAATTAGGGTAGAAGGCTAGTAGGTAGTCGAACATTTCTCTTTGTCTGAGTTCGCTAGCATTAGTGTTAGTACGATATCCTTTTATTCATTCATTGATATTACTACCTATAATTTAACTGCTTTCTTGGCTTCGGTCTTTATTTTTATCTTGTTGTTATTCCTATTTGTTGCCGTTACTTTTTTCATCCGTTCTCCGGCCGAGGATCTAGCAGAAACAACCTTTCTGCCCTTCCGGCGTAGGGGTAAGGCTGAGTACATCCTACCCTCCCCAGATCCCACTTGTGGAAAATTATTGGGTTTGGTGTTGTTGTTGTTGTTATTTTTCTCTTCTTTCGGTTTTGAATATTTGAACAGGAGGTAGTCGATTCTTAGTATTATTAACAAGTACATCTTCAATGCAGGAAGTGTTTGGTGCATGCAACATGCACCTAACTCTTCTGTTTATATTAGATAGTCGTTTGGTTGCTCCAATTTTTTTTTTTAAACTTTAAATATGTTTAATTAGCAAAAAAAAAGGTTTGACGTAAAACTGCTCATTTCTTGTTAGGAAAAGTTAAAAACTTTGTTTGACTCTTTGCCTTTTATGTGAATCTTCCAATTCTTGAGATGCTGATGGTCCCTTGCATATACAATTGTCTGACAACATTCTTCCTCCAAGTTCGTTGGCCACTGCTGCACCTGTCAAACAAAGCTTTAGTAAAAAGTTTCATGCACCAGGTTGGTTGCTCTAACGGCACAAAGAAAGGTGGAAGTGGATGTAGGGTGCTTCTTAGCTAGAGTAGCTAGGGGGTGGGTTGTTATAGTGGTTAGGCTGAGTCTTCCTTAGACATAGTTATAGAATGCTTATATTATGTTAAGTGGCGGACACCTTTTCGTTGGGAAACACCATGATCATGAATGGCATAGTCACATAGCTTTATTTAGCTTCATTGACAGCCTCAATTTTTGTAAGACAGCATATTAAATTTTGTAAGAAGTTATGTTTCTTACAGACAAGTAAGAGGCTGATGTAGTCTTATGTTCTTTTCAATATTCCTAATATGGTTTCATCAGATATTTCTATGTTGCTGCCCATTCCGTTAAGTTTTGACACATTAAAGAGACCAACATATATTTACGCTACCTTATGTACCATAGCCCACTATTTGATTGATGAAAATTTTATTGCACTTATCCTTGTGTCCTCTATGCATTCTCTTCCCTGACGGAGTCTTTGTTTCTCTATCAAGATCAAAAGAAATAAAGAAATATTTTAACCTTGTAAAGTACAACAACAGAATATCTGAAATCACTTAAGGTTTTGTTTGTAATTTCTCTCAATTTTTCACACCTATTTGCAGGTTATTCTTCTGCTTCCTTTTTATTCCTAATATTAGAGCTATAGCATTTAGGTTATTGCATAAACCTTCACGATGGAAAGCTTATTCTGACTTCAGACGGTGCTAACTGTGTGCTTGTTGGGTCCTCCTTAGAATTCTTCCCCTCTCTTTGTTGGGCTGCAGTTGGTCGTGTATCGATCTCAATCTTTCTGCTCTGAAATTATTTCTTTTCCGCTTGTAGAACAGGAAGGTCATCAATACAAGAATCCTGGGCTAACAGTGTGACTTGGCATCAAGGTTTGCTATGTTCATATCTACTTTGGTTTGTTCGCCGGAGGGTCTATTTTATTTCTAGCTATGGATATGATGATGCTGGAGAGGATTTAATCATTTCCGCTTCTATATCCGACGGACAGGAAACCTACTTTCAACTGATTCGTGGAGTGATGCACTCAAGGGAGTAACTTCTGTTGTATGTACTGCCTTTGGCCTTTATCCAAGTATCCTTGTGGAACATTTCAATATCTAATGCAAACTGATGGAAAATTTTGCTACCTGTCTTTTCTTTGTTTTATGTTTATTTGTTTTGCAATTAGTATTATTTTTTTTGGCTTTTGGGCAAGGGAAAGGGACTTTGAAAAGGCTTTTTGTATATCCAGCAACATTTCCATCACTTGTCTTCACTGAAAGTATTTCTGAATAGGTTCATCAGTGTCATTTTAGTTTTCACAAGATGCTTTGTCTTTGGGTGTGTGTTTGGTGTGAAGGAAAATATATTCCAACTTATGTTTTGGTGTTTGGGTGCTGAAAAATATTTATGAGGGAGAACATTTTTCTGCCAAAGGGAAAGCGGACTTCCCTCACCTTTTTGATGAAGTATTTTTCTTCACAATTATCTCAACTCTTAACTACATATCACTGTTTAACCAATATGTTGATATCATTATCAATCTCTAATGCTCAAGATTATTATTTGAAACCTTACCAGATTTGCTATATTATTATCAAATTTTAACAAATATGTTGTCCCGAAAATATTCGGGAAAATTTTTTCAGAAAATAAGTCATTTTCCTGATTTTCTTTTGAAAAGAGACTTTTGTTATGCCAAACACACACTTGAAACTGAGAAATCTTCCGGAGAATTATTAACAATTTTAGAAGCAAAGATGGTTTTGAAATATTGGAACATAGTATCTTGTCACTTATGTTAGCTTCTACTAAATATAATGGTAAGTTTAATCAAATACTGCTAAGGTTGAGAAATTTTGACGGGCCTTTTGTTACACATCGTATTGGAGCGGGGTGGATGAAATGAAGGCTCGCATCTGGTGTTTTGTGCCATAAGAATGTGCCACCAAGACTTAAGGGCAAGTTCTACAGAGCGGTAGTTAGACCGACTATGCTGTATAAAGCCAAGTGTTGGTCAGTCAAGAAATCTCATGTCCAGAAGATGAAAGTAGCAAAAATGAGGATGTTGAGATGGATGTGTAGGCATACCAGGAAAGACATGACAAAATTAGGAATGAAGTTATTAGGGACAAGGTGAGCGTGGCTCATGTGGAAGACAAGTTGCTGGAATCGAGACTGAGATGGTTCGGGCATGTGAAAAGGAGAGACACTGATGCTCTGGTTAGGAGGTGTAAGCGGTTGATCGTGGTGGGTCAGAGGAGGGGTAGAAGGAGGCCTAAGAAGTATTGGGGAGAAATGATTAGGTAGGACATGACACTACTTCAGCTTACCGAGGACATGACCCTCGGCAGAAAGATGTGGAAGTCGAGAATTAAGGTTGTGGGTTGACAGGTGGCCGTGATTTTCTCCTTTGTCTTACCAATAGTATTAGCACTAGTCTTGTATTTTCCTATTCCTAGTTCCTTGTTATTACACGGTGGGTCATTCTTACCAGTAGTATTGCCGCTATTCTTGTATTTTTGTAATATCTTTGCTATTACACACTTTGCCATTTGTTTCTATTGCCTATTACCTTGTTGGTGCTATTATTTGTGTATTCCTTTCTTTTAACTGTTCTTGAGCCGAGGGTCTATCGGAAACATCCTCTCTATCTTCATGAGGTAGGGGTACAGATTATTCTCCCCAAACCCCACTTGTGGGATTCTACTGGGATTGTTGTTGTTGAAATTTGATTAATTAAAAATTTTGGGAGACGTTTCTTCTTTTCATCTGGAGTGTGGGAAGGATGGAAATAGATAAATAAAGTGAAAGGGATGAAGCATCTTTATACATGGAATAAAAACAGTAAAACATTTTTGTTTCTATTTTTTTAATCCCATGGAATTTGAGTAAATGAATCTAATAGAAGTGTCAGATTATTGTATTTTAAAAGTTCAAGATCATCTTTGTTGCCAAAAAAATTCTAAGATTAAAGCGTGCGCCTGACTAAAGTTTAAATATTACCGGTCTACTGTACTTGTCGGGTTATAGTGGGATAATATTCTTCCTTTCCCTTCTTAGACTGCCATCCAACTCTCTATTTGTGTGTGTAATCTTTGCGCAGGAGCCATACTAGTATACAAAATCCTGTGTTCCAGAAGCTGAACTGTGAACTGTTTCCTGAAGAACTTTTCGGGCCATACTAGTATACAAAATCCTGTGTTCCAGAAGCTGAACTGTGAACTGTTTCCTGAAGAACTTTTCGGGCCATACTAGTATACAAAATCCTGTGTTCCAGAAGCTGAACTGTGAACTGTTTCCTGAAGAACTTTTCACCGCTTTTGTGGGTGTTGGCATGGGGGAATGAAAATAAATATGAAGTTACTCCCTCTGCCCTAGTTATTGGTTAACGAATCTTTTTTGGACATTTATAGCATTTGTATTTTCTAGCATTGTTTAGTTGTAAGATTTGCTTTAGGGTATTAAGGTACCTTTCACCTGTACATAGGTTTTCTTAATCCATTAGTTAATGTTTAAAGAAAATTTTTAAATTGACATGGTAATCCAAAGTAAGCTGTCTAGGTGGCTGAGTAATATCTTTTCCGATCACATGAATGTTTTAATATGCTCCAGCTAATGTTCACAAGAGAACTGTTGAACCTTGTACGGATTTGTTTCTTTTTGAAGTTTATTACTTGAACCTTGTGCAAAGTCTGATCAGTACTATAATATCAATATTTATTCTTCTGTCCTCTTCTAGTGTAAGCTAGCTTGATGTGCACACAGCTCGTCGGTGAAGATCAAAATCTGGCTTTTCGTATAGGCCTTTTATAAGATGCACACAGCAGTGGCAGTTACAGATGGATTTTTGTTTCAATTACTTCCTGGTTTAATTTGAAACGTTAATTGCTAGGAGTACATAATGTCCCTCTTTGGAGATTTAATGGTGGTAGTACTTTTATTTTGGATATGATTTTCTCAAAGTTAAGAAAGGACTGCTTGGTCTGTCCAATAGGCATGTGAGAAGGAGATTAGTATTAGCTGAGTAGCAGAGATGGTTGGACTCGGAAGCATCAGAGAATTTCTCTTCGATTCTCCTTTGTAGGTCACGGGTTCGAGCCGTAAAAGCAACCACTAATGCTTGTATTAGGCTGTCTGCATCACACCCTTTGGGGTGCGGCCCTTCCCGGACCCTGCGTGAGCGCGGGATGCTTTGTGTACTAGACTGCCCTTTTCTTTCTCCTTTGTGTGAGGAGACTATGGTAGAAATTTTTTGACCTACTGTAATGCAACATGGCTCGGAAACATGTAAGATCCTAAGCTCTACTCCTAGGAATGGCAATAGGAAATTTGTGAAAAAGAGAATTGTGGATGATAAAACCTAATGCGAGAAACTATTGGATATATTCTGATGCAACACGCTTAGAAACATGTGAGATATTGAGCGTTCTTGCTGGGAACGGAGGTTAGAACATTTGAGAAATGGAGAATACTTTTTTGTTTGTTTGTTGGATCGGTGACAAAAAGGAGAACTATTAATCTGATGAAAAGAATAGTGAAAAACACTTCTCTCAGGGTTAAATGCTGGAATTACAAAGATACACACGAGGCAAGAGAAGAGGGAAAATCCATTGGAAAAGTAGAGATATTCACCTAGGTCATTCTAGGATCTTACACGGGAAATTTCAGTTGAATAACTGAAACCAATCCTCTTCCCGTCAGGTTAAACATAGCTTGCACAAAAGCTAATCCAAACACCCCGGTTTCTTAAAAAAAGCATAATTTCACGCATATGGACTTCTATAGATGGAATCAAGAAAGAATTTCTTCGGTACTACTCTTTCAGAATCTCATCCTGAGACCTAGGTGTGTCATTCTATATCAATGTTTTGGCTGCTCAAACCGGTATAGGTACAAAAGTGCTTGTGGCTTGGGCAGTTATTGCGGACCAAGGGATTTGGTGGTCGACTATCATTCGTACTTGGTAAAGGTTGTGGATTCTTTTCTTTTCGTCCCAAAATGGAACAACAGAATAGGGACTTAGATGCACCGTGCATGCAAGTTTGGGTTTGGTTGGGAGAGCTGGTCAAAGAATGGAACCTTCAGATTTTGGCATGTCCTATCAACCTCATCAACTGTAGATTCTCTCGTTTTGACATTGTCAAGAAGATGTCGGCAATCTAGTTCTATACTGTAATTGATGCTACTATGGCTTAGATAGGACTTTTGATTTGCTCAATTGTGATTTTTTGGCTGCGAAATAATCTTCTGTTGAGCACCGGAAATCCCTTATGAAGCTGCTGTTTATTCTATCTGAAGGAACATGTGATGACAACTGAAGACAAATTATAAGTACAAGTTGCTGTCAGCTCATGGATTGGTTCATTGTTAATTAATATGGCTAACCAACACTCAGGAAATAACACAAAACAAATGCAGCATAAACAAGTTCACATGTGACTGGCTTTTATCGAAATTATGACTGGGCATTGTCTCATTCTAATTATTTGTCTTGCTATTACTTGCTATCAGGACTTCTTTCACCTTCTTTAACCGAGGGTCTATCGGAAACAGTCTTTCTGTCCTTCTAGGATAGGGGTAAGGCTGTGTACATCCTACCCTCCCAGACCCCGCTTGTGGGATTATACTGGGTGGTGGTTGTTGTTGTTGTTGTTGCATTATCTCATGACTAGAATTGCATTTTTATGTTTTTATGGGTATAGGATCGATGTACGTCTAAGTCTGAAATCTGCAACCTTTTCCATCTTTCCTCATAATTAGAATTTTTCTTATGTGTTGTAAATTGGAACTTCAGGCACATTTTGAATAGGACTAGAGGCATATAACCACCTGTGTAGGTTTTTATCTTTGGGTATACCCCTTGTATACGGCTGCTTTTGTTTTTGGCCCTTTCATCAATGAGAACTTATGTACTTGATTGAAAAAAAAAATATAGGACCAGAGGCATAGAACTAGAATTTTTTTTCTTATATAATTGAGCTTGAGCTGCACAGGATTCATAAGATGGAGGATACTATTTGAATCAATGTGTAATAACATTCCGTCTAGTGAAGTCTACTTGCTCCTTCTAAGGTCCTACAACATCCTTCTTTACTTTTCCATCTTAAATGCGGTATTGCTTCATATGAATCTAGTGTAACCGTCCCTTTTTTCTTTTGTGCAAGAATAAGTCCTGAGGCAATTGTATTTGCAGATCTCTTGTGTGGGTGGCTTTGGATCTAACTCATACATGTATAAAATAAATGGGACAGCCAACATAAATGCAATCAGAGCTGCTTCACAAGAAGGTATTAGCTAGTTTCCATTTTTCTATTTTTCATGGTATTTAAGCACCTCTGGCGTGAGACTCTGTGTACCCCTGCTTTTCTGTGGAAATGTTAGTTGAATACTGCGATGTCAAAGAAGTTTTGGTTTCGACTAGGATTTTTTTCCTTTTTGCCTATAAAGCAGTTTTCCAAGAATGTAATTCTTGGTGTCGTTGCATATCTCAAGCCTCGAGTATAATGGCTAGAGCTAAAATTAATCAAATAACCACATTTGGTTTTGCTTCTATAGTAGGTTGCTCCATTCAACCTAGTCTTTAACTATTTGCCTCTAGTAGGTAAATATGGGTTGAATTTGAGTAATTATGGGCCAGAAACGTATTGTTGATAGGAAATGATTTAGTAGATGCTTGAAACAGGTCAACAACAAATTGTCGATGGCATAATGTGATTAATGGCAGATATAGTTTTCAACCATGGCCAAACTTTTGCGTTGTAGGAAAAATTGTAACGTAAGATTTCCAAAACACTTCCGTCTTCTATTGTTTAGGTTGTCCTCATTTCATTGAGAGAATATGGTGTTGTTTCCTTATTGTGTAAAGCAATCTCATGCTAGCTTCTAGGGTTGAGCTAGGCTCAAGGTTCATTTTCTTCACATGGTAGCAGAGCTTAACCAGTCTTTATTTTTGGTTTATCTAATGTTAGGCCCCGGCATTATGTTATCTTCACTCCAAATAAGTAGGGTTAGGCACGTGGAGGTGCTAGACTGTCTCATATTGGTTAAGCAATGAGTTGTTATCTCCTCATATGCTTTTGGCCTTTTGGGCAATCTTTATCCCATGAGCTAGGCTCAAGGTTTGTTTTCTTCACGTTAAAAATAGGAAAAAATATTCTAGGCACCGGCCAACGTGTGCTGCCCGTCCAACTATGTTTTCATCTTCTCTTTTCCTTACGGTGTTCAGTGTCTCTCCTCTCACAGAAAACTGGTGCCTCTACTCTCCAAAAGATTGTGTAGGCATCGCTTCTCTCACCGGTGACCATTCATCCATCACTCCTCTTTGACATGTTCCGCCGTTCCCTTCTCTAAGTTCGTTCAAGCACCGTTTATCTCTCGGACAATCATTCTGGTGCCTTTATTCTATTCCGCGACCATCAGTGCTTCTTTCTATGCGACCATTGCGCTCCTCTAGATCTTATGTTTCTTGTCATTGTTATACCAATTCAAGTTATACTGATATTGTACCGGAGATTGGTAACACCATATATCTTTTTGATGATTGAGAATAAACTCCTTTTCGTGTATAGTGTAAGAATCACCTTCTTTCGTTGCGTTATTACCAATTGACTTTCCGGAAGAAAGAATTCAAACATCGATCTTCTTTCTGGTGGTTATGTGCTATTCTGGCAAGATTTCGACTTCAATTTTCTGTGTCCAAAATATGCAACTCAAATTGGGTTCTCCACTTTGAGTTTGAGGGGGCCAGTTAGAAGATCAAAGGTTTATGTGTGTAGATTCATACGCATCTAAGATTAATTATTCTTGAACAAGGAAAATCTTATAGAATGCTACTTGATGCCGTAAGATATTATGTATTTCATTATATAATATTTATTTACCTTTCTAGTGCATAGATCGAATAGCTACCACCTAAGATTCCTATATGAGGAGCACTTGTTGTACATCGTTACTAAATTAAGTCAATGACAAGTTTTTTTTCTATTTTAACATTTAGGGATTAAGGCGATTAGCAGCAAGGAGTGTCTTCAACTAGTTAGTGGACTGCAATGATCAATAGGAACGGAAAAACACATCACACATGAGTAAATCAAACTTATCTCACAGATTTAGGCAGCCTAATTCAGTTTCTTGAAGCCCCTCAAATTGTTTAACCATTACTCGCAAACTGTATTTGTGACGTATTTGTGACTATATCAAATATTTCAGCTCGAGTCTTAAACTATGCCACCATCTTTCATTTCGGTCGATAAGATGGTTTTTTCTTTGTTGTAATTTCCATTTCCTTTCGATTTAAATATAGAAGAGTGAATATGTCTCACAGTCTGTTTGGCTTGTCTCAGTACTGAACTTTTAAATGCTAAAGACATGTATTTTGAACCCCTACTCATCTCGGATTCCAACTTAATTTTTTTTATTGTACCTCCGTTGTTCCATCTCTAAGAAAGGGAGAGCTCCTCAACCTCTTTTTTCTGACTGAAGGTTTCACTTAATGTAGTATTTGGTAGAGTGCATGTCAATCACTTGTTGTGCTTGAGAGCCACGATAGTCCTTAAAATCCTAATTGATGCATTATGTGCAGGAAGAGTTTACTAGATTCATTTTCTAATGATAAAAGAAATTGTTCATGGTTGACCAATGATCGGTAGCTTTTGCCCAAATGTTCATACATATTCACTCCTCACTTGAATCTTGGTTTTTCAAATGTTTCCTAAGAGGGCCTTAGTGTAAAACAATCACATTTTAGATCATATGGGACGAGGAGGGATAAATCTTGGAATTGTTATATGAGCCTGGGTATCTTTGCAAAAGTTGTATTTGCGTACGCAACTATTAGTCTGTCAGAAAGGTAAAAAAAATCTAGCCAGATTTCAACTCATTTATATGTATGCATATTTGAACAGGAGTAATTTGTAGAGGTAGTATAATCTGTGGTCTTTCTGCTGTATTTCTCATTGAGCCTTGTATCCCACATCTTTAATTGATGCATGGATTGGTTTAAGAAAAAGGGAAAATTGTCAGCACACTTCTATAAAGTAAATCTAAATATATTTTGTGGGATATTGGGTCAGTGACACTGTATACATGGCTCATTTCTGTGTGCAGGTGTTAAAAGATTTGTTTACATCTCTGCTGCGGACTTTGGTGTTGCAAATTACTTGTTACAAGGTTATTATGAGGGAAAGGTATTTGTCTAATACTCAAAAGTGACTTTGAGGGTGTTTAGGTTAGCTTAAAGCTGGTCAAACCAGCTTAATAGCACTTTGTCTTATTTTTTTATGTTTGGTAAGCATCATAAGTGCTTTTAAACCAACTGCTTTTAAGTCAAAACAAGTCAAAAGATAGAGTTGGGGTGCACCACAAATAAGAGCTAATCAAGAGCCCCGCAATACCTTAGAAAGACATCACGATTCCTTGTGCCTATTAGATGGAATAAGTACATTCGATCTAATAAGTACCTTGGAAAAATCAAACTTCCATCGAAGAGAAGCAAATGAAAGGCGAGAATTCGCACCTACATTAGATTTTAGAGATTTTCCCCAACGAAATGAAAACTGGATTCATTTAACAGGACAAAGTTGATTGGGAATCATTCAACTAGGGATTCCTTACTCGAAAACCAACTTAATTGGTTTTTAGCCTAAAAGCTATTTCTATCTGACCAAGTAGTTTACTTTATTATTCCTTTCATATGTTCATATTCTCTGAAGCACCTTTTCCTCAAGAAAAGCCAATATTCCCATTTTCTTTCGCTAATTTCTTCTTCCTTCTTTCATTGCTTGGACTGCACTGTGGCCACCTCTTATTTGTTTTTGTAACTGTAAACTCAACATCATCAGTAGCTGATTTCTTATAAAACCATCTTATCCACACAAAGGGAAGCATTTTATATCTTCAATTTCTTTGCCGAATGTGCCTTACTCATCTAAACCCCAAGATAACGGCTCAAATAAAAGTTGTTGCAAAACCGTTTTGGCGTAGCTACTGTATGGTCTCATTTTAATCTGCATTTTTAGCATCTGATTACACTGAAATGCTTCAGTTCTGAGGTACTTAATGCTTACAACTAATTAAAAACTTAAAAGCTCCAACATGCGAGGATCTAGGAAATTTTAACTCTGGTGCTTCTGCCCAGACAAGAGGCATTCTATTTGCAGGTGAACTAATTTTTATAGGTTAACCTCCCATTGGGAATGTGATATTTGCAATTGTTAGCTATAGTAGAAGTCTTTTGATCCTTCTTTTCCTCTTGCATGGATTTTCATGTGGAACTGTTGGGTTCCTTTTCAAAATCTCAAAATAGTGGTCTTTTCACAATAAACTTTTGTCATTACTGTTCTGCTAGATTTGAACAATAAATTTAGGGTCTACTCTGTAATGTTGAATGCTTGTGATTTTTATATGAATTTTTTGCACTATTTAAGTATTTTTTTTTTTTGAATTGGTAACTATTGTATATATTAAAAACATCAGTACATAGGTTGCACTGAAAACCAAATTTACATGGAGAGGATTAGTAGATGTTCTAGTTCGAGACCTAGCAAGATCCTAGTATGTCTATGATTGTCAATGTATCTTCTGTGTAAATCTGTTTGCACCAAAAACAAAAAAGAAGAATACAATTGAGTTTGATCTTCTGCACTGGATTGCTTCTATCTTCAAAACATCTAGCGTTCCTTTCCCTCCAAACTGTCCACCAGATACAAGCCGGGACAGTCCTCCATCTATCTCTACTAGTTGCTTCAGCTCCAGCTTCTTCCCAGCTATAAAGGACATCTTTAAGCCTGTATGGCATTGACCATGAAATACCCCTAGGACTAATAAAGATTTTCCATAGTTGGTCTGTAATCTTGCAATGTAGAAACAAATGTGTGACAGTTTCAGCATTTTCCCCGCACAGAAAACATCTTGAGCACAGAGAAATTCCCCTTTTTATGAGATTATCCTGGGTTAATACCGCCTCCTTTGCTAGTAGCCAAGTGAAGCAAGCTACCTTGTATGGAATCTTTGTTTTCCATATATGTTTCCAAGGCCATGGGTCCACCTGTTGATTATTATGATTCAAAATCTTATATGCATCCTTCACCCGGTAAACCCCTCTGTTGTGCCTCTTCCACCAAAGTGAATCAAAACCTTCCTGTAATCCTTTAAATGCTTCCAGCTCTTTGTAAAGGTCAGCTAATCTTGTTATCTCCCCGTCATTCAACTATCTTCTTAGAGCGATTTCCCATCCTTGATGACTCCTCATATCAGCTACTGTCTTATGCTGGTTTTGTGCTAAACTAAACATGTCGGGGTATCTTTCCTTTAAGCTTCCGTTTCCTAACCAATTATCATTCCAGAATGATGTGTTCCTTCCGTTGTTCACTCTTATGGAGGAGTGATTCTTCATTATAGGCCAAAGTTCTCTGATGGATTTCCACACACTTACTCCTTATGATGTTCTGACTTTTTTTGACACCCAGTTATTTTCCTCACCATACTTTGTGAAAATGTTGGTTTATGTTTAGTTAACAATGGCATGCTGAAAATGTTGGTTTATGTTTA